CTCTGTCATCATGATTTTTTCCCCAGGATTACTGAATTATAGGAAAGAAAAAAAGAAACTATCCATAACCATATTTCTAGCTACTTCTTAGGTAGTACAAACTAAATATTTCATGATGTACATAATGTTATTTCTTTACAAATTTGAGATCTTGCCTGCAAACTGCCATTTCTATCCAGTCTTTTCCCCCAGAGCATTAATTAAATCATAAGTGTTTCTGATATCACAAATAGCATCTGTTGGTGTTGTCACTCATTTACTTGCCTGTGACACCTTTCTGTTAGAGTAGAACACTCTAGAAAGAGGTGTGGTGCTGGCAGTGGTGTGCTCCATGAGGGGATGGTGTACAGGCCTCGGAGGGCTCACAACTGGTGGGAGCTCTGGATGATTTGAGATGGTCTGTAGGACTCTGGGGAGGGATGAAATAGATAGCCATATACTCAAATACTGTTGACAGTGGTCAGGAACGGTCAGATCTCAGGAAAGGGGTTAGAGAAAAGAATGCTTCTGGTGAATGAGATTAGCCAGGCAGAGGACAGAGTGGTGAGGAACCAAGGTGACACCTATGAGTATTCCCAGGCAGAAGGCATCGAGCAGCAGGGAGTCCTACGTGGCTGTTGAGGACTGGGTCAGTAAGCCTTTGTGGTTGCATTTCAGGAAACTGGAGCGCCCATCCTGACGGACGACGTGAGCCTGCAGGTGTTCATGGATCACTTGAAGAAGCTGGCTGTGTCCAGTGCCTCCTAAACTGCCAGTGCAGCCCAGAAACTATGCTCATACTGTTGATATTACCTTAGCAACATTCCTTTCACCTTTCTGGAAGATTCTAATAAATAACCCAAGGAATTTTTTTTTTTATATGTATGTCTTCAGGTTATAATTTATTTGTAGTCCTTCTCTGCCTGTTTTCCTACACATGAAATGTTCTGCTAATTGTAGATGTTTACTTACCTTTTGTACTTTAATGTTTTATTAGAGTCTTTATAAAATCAGAGTTTATGTATTTTTGGCTGCTTGTTTAAGTGAGCCTTAATGATCATAAAGGAAATAAATCTGGGTGAAAAGAGCATTGACTAAAATAGCACTAATGCAGATTTTATCTGTGTGTGTGTGCGCACGCGTGCGCGCGAGCGAGAGAGAAGGGTGTGTATGAGAAGAGTGTGTGTGAGAGAGAGCGTGTGTGTGTGCGTGAGTGTGTGTGTGTGTGTGTGTGTGTTGGGGGATGTTCCTCAAGGGCTCTTTTCTGACCTTGATGATCTTCATTCATCATCTAAATGCTAAGAAGATATGAGAATAATATGAAATGTGTGAAGCAAGATCTTTGTTGGCGTGATTTGCAGGGCACCTACTGATTCACTGTAACTGTCATGGCAACAGTCCCATGTAGGCAGACTTCAGGACTTGCTGATGGGTCTAAGAGGCCTCAACAGTGATGACACATTTATTCTGGACACCAAACTACCTGGAATGAGTACTGTGTTTTTAATCAAAATTTTACAGATATATGAGTATATGCTTCTATATATATGTGTGTGATGCTTCTATATATATGTGTGTGTGTGTGTCATACATACATATATGTCAAAACAAAATCTTATCCTAAAGAGCTTATATTAAATAAATTCCCTCCATTTCCTAAACCCAGACCATTCTTTGGATGTAACCATGTGCAACCTTCTCTTCCATGTGTTTTGTTGGCGATGTATTTGTTTTTAGCCAATCTTTCAGTTCCTGCTTTTGTTCTATGAGCATGTTAAGAAATTCCTCCCTACCCTCCAATTTTTGTTAGCTGTACTTTTATTTTTATTTGATCAAGACTTATATAATGTATTTCTAACCTAACGCCATAATTCTATTTTTCATGTAGAAGTTGATTGTAAAAACTGAAGGATGCATTTGTCCAGTTGTGATGATGTAAATAGTGTTCACGTTGGAGCCAGGTAGTAGTTTAATGTCAGTCATTTCTCGTGTCACTTGAAGGAAAACTTTCCAGATGATCAAATCTCTTTCATGTTTTAATACTCTATGTGTTTGTAACAGAGGGAACGACACAAAGAAATACAACGAGATGGAGAGAGAGACAGAGACAGAGAGAGCCCGGCAAGCATGCTCATGCATGCTCATGGAGGTTAGGGGACATTGTGCAGGAGGTGGCTCCCTGCTTCCACCTTGGTGGGTCTCAGGAATAAGCTCAGGCCGCCAGTCTTGGCAACAAGTGTCTTTACCCACTGAACCATCTTGCCAGCCCCAAAGGGAAGAAGAGAGTGAGTCCTAAGTGCAAACTGAAGGAGAACTATGAATTGGGTGTTGGGCCACCTGGACCGGTGATAGTTGTCCACCTTTTCAGCTCCTATGTCTCTGCTCTGTGCTTTACTATGTAACAGTTATATTTTAGGTGAAAGAGTTTATATAATATTTTCTTTTCCAGAGAATATTTTTATATAATTTTCCATTGAGACACATCTTGTAGAAAAGTCCATAAAACTGTAAGTAGGTTGGAACTAAAATTTCCTTATTGGACCTATCTGTTACAAATTAACAGGAGAGAGCATATAATAATTCCAGCTTGGCCAGGTATCTCTCCAGTAAAGTGAGATGTGAGCATTACGGAGTGACTGCTGATAGAGAAGACATGGCCAGACAGTCTTACCTTTGAGTTCCAGTGGGGGCAAGGCGCTGAATGCTCCCTCTAAGTGGATACCACTGAGCCCAGTGTACCTCATGAAGACCCTGAGCTCTATTTGAAATCAAGGCAGGCCCGTGACTTACCTCAGACTGGGGCTTAGGTTGAAAAACTAGGACTTGAATGGCAGGAAGGATGGGACAGAAGAGTGTTCAGAGGTAATGGCTGAGCTCTCAGACAAGCAGGGGTCAATGCAATCATTGCCTTAATTAAGGAGCAGAAGGAGAAACGTTCTCCAGGTAGCATTCATAAGTTCAGCTCTGAACATTTTAAGGAGCTTGTGTGATATACACTCTAGAATTGTTCAGTAGACTAACAGTCAATGGGTCTGTGTACAGTGAGCAGAGGCTCTAGAGAGACTACAACAATGTTGTTAACCCTATAAAGTAGGCAGGTGTGAAATAATACAATTACAACAGCATTGAGATATATTTTACATTCAATAACTTTACCTAGTTAAGTATACAATTCAATCCGTCTTGATAGATGAAACCTATGTGTTGGCCATAGACTACTGACCAACTTTCCCCCTCTATTTTGATTTTAGGTTTACATCTGTTTGCCTTTCATTTACACTAATCCATCTGAGATTGATATATGTTGCCAAGTGGTATATAACTTTATATCTATCTTTACTCAGACATTTCATTTCTGCTTTTGTTACTGTGAATAAAATATGTGTGAACACTGTGCACAGGCCTCTTTGGACATGAACTTTCTTGAGGAAGTAACAGGAATGGAGTTGAATGGAATAATTTGTATGTTCAGCTTTAGGGGCGGTTGAGAGCTTAATGATCAAAAGAGTGCTTGCTATTCTTACAGAGATCCTGAGTTGAGGTCACAGCACCTATGTCAGATGTCTCATAACTGCCTACACACACACAGCATACACTCTCACACATATACACATAAAAAGACAAATACTTTTGAAAAGAAAGTACCCGTCAGCTTTGTAAAGTCGACATAACATTTTCTGCTTGCATCAGTTAGAATTCCAGCTGCTCAGCTGCGTTGGGGAGCTGGCTTGGTGCTTCCTGCACAAACGGGAGGACCTGAGCTCCCCACCCAGCACCAGTCCTGGGGAGTGGGGACAGGATCCCTGGGCTTACCTGTGGCCATGGCACAAAATTAGGTGGAGTGATTAAGGAAGAGCTCTGATGTCAACCTCTGACCTTAAATTTTTTTTTATTCAGTGGCTTGATTTCATTCCTCTCAACTGACTTTTAAGTCCAATTAATCAGCTTTTATTTTGTGGTTTCTGCTTCTTGTATCCCAAGAAATCTTCAGCCATTCCATGATGGCCAAGATTTTTCTTTTGTGCTTGCTTCTAGGTTTATAATTTTATCTTTTAGATTTAAACACACAACTTCTTTTGAGTTAAATGTTATAGGTATATATTTTTGTAGGGTAAACAAATATAAAAAGGGACCCTAGAAGAGAACAGGGGAGATCTTTTTGAAGCCACCAGAGGAGCATACAGACAGAGTCAGTGGTGTCAATGGTTTTACAAGTCAAGTTTGAGTGTGTCTGAAATATTCAAAGCAGGTCACCCAGCCAGCTCCAGGTAGACACCTCAGATTTGCTCTCAGATTATTTAGTCTACTGGTGGTGTGACAAATTTTGCTTGGAAGAAGCACTAAAGAAAAAGTTTGGAGCAAAGTCCCATGGGAATCATTAGCTGCAACAAGACATAAATCCTGCAGGACCTTGTTCAGCATGTCGAGATGCGTCAATAGGAATTCAGCACTTGGTACCTGCAAAACACAGTGCCAGGCAGTCGATGGAATCGAGGCTTTTTTCTTTTTTCTTTTCTTTTTTTGAAGATATATGCACCTTTGTATGAGGGAGGGTTGGATGAAAGCCAATAGTATGAAAAGCCGCAATGATGGGTGATAGGGTGGAATTGGAAAAGGACCAAGGGAGCCCCCAAAGAATTGGATAGGAGAGAAGCGAGTTCCACAGTGTCATCCAAAATCTGACAGCTGTTAAAAGGAAATGGAGTAAGCCGTTTCAAATACCGCCTGACATATGGAGGGTAGGCATTACAATTTTGCAAGTGAGGAAGTTTCAAGTCGCCATCTGCTCCCCATCACATAGTATATACAGTGGAGTCGCCAGCTGGCATCTGAGTTTTTAAACTATGGTTCCCTAGATTAAAACCTATAGTCCTAGCCCGGATTAAGTGCGGACTACGAGTCCCTTGATGCATCGCGGCCGGAGCAGGAAGAAGTTTAAGGCTGGCTGCCTATTGGTGGCCGCTGCGACACCCTGGGAGGTCTTCCTCCATGTGAGCCCTGTGGCTCTTCGCAGTTGAGACATGCGTCCTGAGCAGGCTTCCCTGTGGTACCGGCGGCTGTCTGTCGTTTACGCAGTAGGCGCCTGGTCGGTGCTGGGCACGGCGGTTTTCTTTACACGGAACCGGACATCAGGTAGGTTTTCTACGGCGAGCTCGGCCTCGCAGCTGCGGCTTCCCACTTATCGTCCTGGGAGTCAACGAAGCGACCTTCAGGGCTTGAACCCTGGAGCAAAGCAAAACTGCTGCAAGCGGATAAGGGGATAATTTGCAGTGATTGAATCTGCAAAGAACAAGACTCCTCCAGGAACTACTAAGCATTGTCATCTGGATCTTATTTATTGACTAACACTGTGCGCATGTTCAGTTGGAATATGTGAATTCACCTGGGTCTGACAGTGGCCGGAATGCTGCTCATTTCCTTGAGACCCTGTCGCTTATGGAGAGCAAGCAGTTTCAAGCCTTAACAGCAACCAAGGAGTATTAAAATAATCCCAGTTATTGGGTGGAAAAGGAACTCCCGGAAACTTCAAATACGTGTTGGAAATCGAAAGAATCACAAAAATCAGTTGGTGTAATTGCTAGGGACTGGAGTGTTAGGATGGAAGGTGACTTTTAGTGGCTGAAAATACTCTAAATCAATTGTGGTACTGGGTTGCTCAGACCGAATAGACTTAACACCATTGAATTTGTAAAAGGAACTTGTATGGTATGTTAGGTATATAGCTCAATAAAGCCATGTGTAAAAACTGGAAATTCTACTTGGTCACGAAGGTTGTTAGTGGTTTTAAAGCTCACACAATCACCTTGTATCCGATGGCATAATCATACTTTGGTTTATGGTCAAGACTTTAATGGCTGGTGTCTAAGTTAATAATTCAGGTTCTTTTCTTTTCTTTTTTTAAGGTGATGGGGAACAGCAAAAGGATGGCTCAAGGAGTAAAACACATGCTTTGACAAGTGAAGTCTCTGACTTAGAAAGGGAAATAAATGAGCCCATTGAAGGGTCTTATGTGCAAACATTTGTACACTATTCAGAAAAATCCGTTCCGGTTATTCAAAGGATCCTGGATTATCTGAAGTCATGGACTGGTGGGCCTGGGCCAGAATCATGATCAGCTGCTGAATTCGGAAAACAAGGACTTGGCTCGGTATTGGATAGATGCCTTGTTTACCATTTCGTGTTTGTGGAAAAAATGTTTTTAATTTGATTTTGTAAAATATAATCGTTAATAATGTGCAATGAATGAATTCTTGGGGGAACTGAATACATAATTCAAGAGGTAGTTTTCTGTGTTTGTAAGGCTGACATATATAAACCATTACATTTTAAGTTACATTTATTTATCTATTTGTGAATGGCGTGCGTGCGTGCGTGCTTGCGTGTGTGTGCGTGTGTGTGTGTGTGTGTGTGTGTGTGTGTGTGTGTGTGTGTGTAGGTCAGAGGACAGTTTGCAGGAGTTGGTTTTCTCCTCTCACTGTTGTTCCCATGGATCAAACTCAGGTCGTCAGGGTACCTGCTGATCCATCTCACTGTCCTGGAAATGTCAGTTTTGAAAAATTTACTTATAGGGCTGGAGAGATGGCTCAGCAGTTAAGAGTATTTGCTGAGCCAGGTGGTAGTGGCACATGTCTTTAATCCAGCACCAGGAGGCAGAAGTAAGCGGATCTCTGTGAGTTCGAGGCCATCCTGGTCTACAGAGTTCCAGGACACCAGGGCTACACAGAGAAACCCTGTCTCTAAAAAAGAATACTTGTTACTCTTCAAGAGGACCAGGGTTCAGTTCTCAGCACCCACATCAGGCACTTTAGTTATCTGTAAATAGCTCTAGGGGATCAGATCCTTTGGCCTCAGTGGGCACCCGCGCTCAAGTACACATTCCCCCTTACAGATACACATACCTGCATGTAATTAAAATAAAAACAAATGTAGAGAGCTTCGAAGTGCCGCGCCTTAAAGATGGCGCTGGCTTCCGCCAGCCACCTTCCCGATGGTGAGCGCTCTCTGTCGTAAACAAGTCCTTATTTGGCTAAGCCTGTTCAGCTTGTTTGCTTCCGTATAAGAGCAGCCTATCTGCAGGGTCCACGTGGCTCACTAGGGTTGGTCAGCACAAGGGGATTTAAGCCTGTGCGGGCATTTCCCGGGGTCGCCAGAAGAAGAAGCATGTTCAAGGATCCTGATTAAACTGCTAGAAGATCTTCCCTGAGTTGTGTTTTTCCTTGCTGGTCGAGGATGGGCACGGCAAACAAATCTTTAAAAAAATTGTGTGCACATGCACATTTGTATTTGAGGGCAGGGACATGCCACAGTATAAGTGTTGAGGTCAGAGCACAACTTTAAATGCTGGTCCTGGTCCTAACCTCCCACCTTGTTTGAAACAGGATCTCTTTTTGTTGCTGTGCTATGTACCCCAGGCTAGTTGTACTGCAGGCTTCTGGGAGAGTCTCTTGTCTGTGCTGTAGCTGTGCTAGGATTCAACACATGCCTATGCATCAGACCTTTTACAAGGGATCCAAGCATCAAACAACCCGACTTACTGAGTAATCTCTCTGGCCCTGAAAATTACATTTAGCTTCCATAAGCTAAGTTTTCTGCAAGAAGCTTATGTAACATATTTTTCATGTTACTATTAGACAGTACTTCAGGAGTTGCACTAAGGTTAGACTGAGTAAAATCTCCATGTTCTCTTGGGGCATTCAAAGCAGCCCTCTACCAGGTACCAGTGGGTACTGGATGTCTTATGAATCAGAATGTAACTCCTAAGTTAGACTTGACCTGTTCTTTGGGACTTTTGCCTGCACAAGCATGTATGTGTACCACTTACTTGACTGGTGTCCAAGGAGGTGTCAGATCTCCTGGAACTGGAATTGCAGACAGTTGTGAGCTGCCACTTGAGTTCTTGGAATAGAACCTCTTAACCACCGAGCCATCTCTCTACCCTTGGGCAGTGTTTATTTTCCTCCCTCCCCCTCTCTCCTCTTTTGTCCCTTCCTCTCTCCCTCCCTCCCTTGCTTCATTTCTCTTTTGGTGTTTTTTTCAGACATAATCACTGTAGCCCTGGCTGTCCTGTAACTAGTTATATAGACAAGGCTGGTTTCAAACAGATCTGCTTGCCTCTGCTGGGGTTAAAGGTGTGTGCCCTCACCACCTGGCTCTGGGTAATGTTTTTCCTCCTAGTTACATAAGACCCTGTGAAACACAGGGATGGATGGTAGGTAAGAATTTCAACCGTTGACATATCCCACCACAGGCCAAGAAACAGTTGGTACTAACCGAATATATTGGAACGGTGTGGTGGGCATCACATTAAATGACCAAGAAGCTGTAAAACAGGAAGGGGAGTGTGAAATGGGTGAGCTGGGCTGTGTCTTTGGTAGAGTGCTTTCTTAAACAAGGCCCCCGGTTTAAGTCCTCAGTACTTGGGAAACATTAAGGAAAAAATAAAAAAAAAAAAAAAAAAAAAAAAAAAAAAAAAAAGAATGAAAGGTTGGGGATTACAGCAGATACCTTACAAAAATGTCTCCCATCTTTAGGGATTTCCAGAAAAATAAGATAGGGCAAGAGCCGAGGCAGGATAGAACTGTTAAAAGAAAAAATGCTAGATTTCTACTCACACCGGATAGTAGAATAGTGTAAGAATAGAGCATAAAGAGCAAGAGAGATGACTCAGTGGTTAAGAGTATTGACTTTTTCCAGAGGACCTGAGCTAAATTCCCAGCACCCACATGGAGGCTCACAACTGTCTGTAACTCCTGTTCTAGGGGTCCTGACACCTGAACATGGACATGCATGCAAGAAAATCAATCAAAATAATCAAACAAGAACATGAACACCTTGTGTAATTGTGGGCAGGCTAATAAAGATTTTCTATTGGCTTAAACCCATGTCTGAGCAGTCTTCTTCTCTGGTGGATACCTAACAACACTACAAGTTTGTGGACCTTTTTTTTTTTTTTTTTGAGACAAAGTATCACCCTGTATCTCAGGTTGGCCTTGAACTTCTGTCTCCAGAATGCTTGGATCACAGATGTGGGAACACCATTCCTTGGGGTCTTTTGGCCAAATGACAGACAGCTCCTTACTTTTTATCAAATGCTTTTCTGAATTTACCAATGCTAGTAGAGGAGAGACATTCTGAAATAGGCAAACTTTTTCTGATATCCCCATTTCTTTTCTAGGGAAAGTCTCATGTTGCTCACACTGGTGGTCTCAACTCTTAGACCTTTAAAACACTCTATCCCACTTCATCCCAAGTAGCTGGGATGCTCTCTTCTCTCTCTTTTCTTCCCCCCTTTCTCCCATATCTTTGTTTTTTGTTTTTGTTTTTTTTTTTCATTATAAACATGTGTTCTAACACTGGGATACAAATATATTTTTTGGTAATGAAAACTTGCTAGAGTAATAGCTGTTGCTCTTTGTAGCCTTCTAAGCACCCTTACAGTTATTTTTATTCAAATTTTCTAACAACCATAAGATAGAGCTAATTATTAGGTTTGTATTAGGAATTAGAATTCTAGACTCATATACCTATTTACTATCGTGACATAATAGTTATTATAATTAAATGGCTATTTTAGCAGCAGATCCTTTTGTACTTAGCAACAGGCTTGCTGCTGAGGCAGGAGAACAAGAGGGAATTTTTGGGAAACCTGGGATGGGAGGAAACTCAGGGCAAAGTAGAGGGAGAAAGAAAGTAGCAGAGAAATTAAGGTGTGTTTGGGCATAGTGTCATAGAGTCTGGGCTGCCCGTTTGGGACTACGCCAAGGATTTAAGGTGGAGCTCAGCTGTGGATGGGGCGGGGCCTACCACGGATGGGCGAGGTTATGGATAGGTGGCAGGTGGGCGTGATTGACATGGGCGGGGCCAATTGGTGGGTAGGTGTGGCCGACGTGGGCGGACCGCAGCTCAGTGGAATGGGTCCTCCCGGAGCGCTTCCGGGTGTTACCGACAGAGGGCGCCGGCCGGGAAGCTGCGGGCGGAGTTGCAAGGTCTGACCACACGGCCTGTCCCAGTAGCCACAACCGCCGCCATGAAGGCCGTGGTGCAGCGCGTCACCCAGGCTAGCGTCACAGGTCAGTCGGGCGGGGCCGGGCCTGGGAGGAGCAGCCTCTGACCCCCGCGACCCGCTGTTCCGTGCGAGGGTTTCCCTCAGCCCCGAGTTGCCGGGCAGCTCCAGCCAGCGCTGTGGCCGAGAAGACCCGGCACGTGCTTGGCCGCTCAGGCTCCGTGCTTTGGGTACAGCATAAACCCTAATCATCGTCGTCATCATCATTATAATCATCGTCATCTCTCTCTCTCTCTCTCTCTCTCTCTCTCTCTCTCTCTCTCTCTCTCTCTCTCTGTGTGTGTGTGTGTGTGTGTGTGTGTGTGTGTCGTACAGGCAAGGTGGCAGAACGAACCTGCGAGCATCCCCAGGGCCCGTTTTTGAATGTACTGTTGCACAAACAACACATAGGAAGCATATCTGGATAGGACTCCCCCGTTTCCCACCTCCCTGTCTGAGATGTTGTATTTAGCACCCTCCCTTTGCATCTCTTCTTTTTTTAAAGATACTTGGCTCATGATAAAATGCACAGATGAGGAATTGCTCATTGTTTAAGCTCTGACAGTTGTATGCAAATACATGAAGGTATCCCAACTAGGTGCAGATGTTGTTCTCTGAACCCTTCCTTCAGCCACGAGTCAGAACCACAGAATTCAAGATGGCATGTTTATTTTTTTTTCACTAATTAATGTGGGCAAGACGTTCAACCGACAGTTATCAATTGAATGTGGTAGTCTAGTTGAAGCAACCAGGATCCAGATGGTTACTATGTCTACTGTAGTTATTTGAAAAGTATTTTAAAAAATTGAAACAACAGGTGCCACACTTTTAGTCTTTTAAATTAAAAAACAAAAACACATTTATTTATTTAGTGTGTGTCTGTATTTGTACGTGTAACAGAACGCTGGTGTCCAGGCCAGAGAACATTTAGAGATGTCAGTACCATGTAGGTTTTGGTATTCAACTCAGGGAATCAGGCTTGGCAGCAAGTGCCTTTACCTGCTGAGCCATCGCTTATCTAGTGTTTTAATTATGTATGTACAGAATTACATTTTAAGGCCAGATGCCAGACAATCACAGCCACTTTGGAGGCTGAGGCAGGAGGATCCCCTGAACCCAGGAGTTCAAAGCAGATTGGACATCAAAGGAAGCCCAGTCACCCCCACAAAAGTTTCAGTTCAAGTAACAGAGGT